CTTAACTGGATCTCAACAGTCACATTCTACTTCATGCTACCATGGGAATTATGGATTCTTATCCCATTCCCGGATTTGCTGCATAACCTGTGAGTAGTCTGGAACAATATTCAGCTTCTCATAGGAGATTTTTAGACTCACATTTAGCCTGTCTCTAGTGTCTGAGCGACACTTTACAATGCTGTTCAGGGCAGAACTAGAGTTCACATGAGTTTTGCCACCCAGTTGACCCACAAGGCTTGTTATATAAAGCCCAAGTCTTCTGTGCCCCTCTCTGCAAGTGGGAGTGAGTCAAGTAGAAATGTGAAGAATGAGTGAGAGGTTTTAGAGTGGAATAAAGACTCAAGCTTTTCTGTAGAGCTCTGACTGACACAGAGATTGTTTTGATCCAAGAAAGGGCAGCCAAAGCAGGGATGGAATGTAAGAAACTCCTGCCAGTGGACCAGCGTAGGAGACTTTTCTAACTCACATCAAGTGTTCACTGTCTTTGTTTATCTTGAACCCAGGGCCACAGGCATGGTAGAGCTATCTGGTAATAACTTACATGAGAAGGGTACTCGTGTTTGAGTTCAGAATTTTAGGAAAACCATTATAATATTTTAATGCTTTCATAGAGGAGCCTGAACTTCTGACCCCTTCTTTAATCTCACTCGATCTAGAACTTGACCTCAGAAATACCACCTGTCAGCATGGCTTTGATGGAAGACAGAGACAGCCAGGCTATGTGGAAAGCTTGTACTGTTTTATAACCAAAAGGGTCTTACATCAATCCTATGTGCAGTAATGCAGCATTGGTAATTCTGGGTAGAAAGAAAAGGAGTAAGGATTTAGACTGGGCACCAGCAACAGATGTATATATACAATGTAATGCAGTTTTCTTGCTAAGTTATAAATACTCCTTCAGGAGGAAAAGGCATGCAACATTATTTTAATATCTCTGCTGTCCCCTTCCTGAGGCTCTCAGAAGCCTTTGCAACCAGTCACTGAGTGACTGCCTGTCTTTCAGAGACAGAATAAACTGAAGGCCAGCATGAGGACAGGAATTACACAGCCAGCCTTCGGATCCTTACATTACAATCCTGTCCTCTGTACCTTACCATAAAAAAAAACAAAACCCAAGTCAAGGAAGACAATTTGCCTTGTGCTGAAGGGATGGACCTGCCAGTAACTGATAGAGCTCGAAGTCTGAAATCAGGGCATTCCTGTTCTTTTACCTACATTAATTCTTGGTGTCCATCCAGCCAGTGAGCGTATGCTGCTGCTTTTCTGTTGGTAAGGGCTCTCACTGATTATCCCTCTATCCCTACCTCATTTTACTGGATTTGTAAAAATATAAGAGCCTAAAGTCCTCTATCTGTCTGTCAAAGAGTTCAGTCAGCTTGGAGGCTGAGCAGTGACAGGCACATGCAGATGCACAGGGGCACTGTGACCACACCAGCCTCGTTTCCTTAGCAAACCACATTAGAAATCCTGGTCCAACTGTTTCATTTGCACATGCAGGAAATGTTCCCACAATGGCTTCTGCCCATTGGACTCTTGAGTAGCATCCAGAAGACAATGAGCAAAGGAGTTAATGCTGTTTGCAGGATATATTTATTGTGTAGAGCCTCATGTCCCAGATCCCTCTTTAAGGAACTGCTAAGCATGGCTGCTTGATGGAGGAGATATCTCAGAGTCCAGTAGAGAGCCCAGAATCCAGGGACAAGCCAGTGAGGTCAGTACATCCCTGGGTAATGTCTGAGACCTTCCCTCTACACAAGAATGTGAGGGAACTTCTCAGCTCCTTCCTCTCCTGAAGCAGATGCACAAGAGAGGTTACCCAGTTTAAAACGTCTGTCACATGTTGCTGTTGTATTTCCCAAGTTCTCTATTACTGGCAGTGTTGTTCTTGCCTGACTCTTTTATGTACCACTCCAAGAAGCACAGATGCTGTTGACCTCATGAAACTTTCAAATAAGAGCTCATTTCCTGGCAATGAAAGGTCCTAACTTGCATTGATTCAGGTAACCCAGTTTAAAAATTCAGTTCAGATTGACAGATGACCAATACCATTAGAAACTCAGCTCTTTGATTCAAACCTGTATTGAACCACTAATCTAGAGGGATGTTTGTTAAGAGAACAAGTACCACTAATGTGGCATAATGTATCCATTAGGTCTGTAGAATTAATAATTTAAACTCACAGGGCAAACCCTCTGTCTTTTCCTCCTCTAAACATACTTATTTCTGTGTCCTTGCAGAATGCTATCTGAAGACCAGGACTGCACTTGGAGGATATGAACATGTAAACCTCGGGAGGGGGAAAAAGAAGAGATGGAAACCATTCCAGACTGTTAGCTTTGACCCTACAAGTCTGCAGAGGCATGTTGCTGGTGAATGAACTGATAGTCCAGTTAGTTAATCAGCATGGCGTGACCAGGTTTTCAAAATCATTTATTTATAAGAAATCTCAGTATAAAGCAGCATTTTCTCTTTCACCCTAATGTATAATGAGGTCTTGCCCTAAAAATAATCCCTTTTCTTTCTCATTTCCCTGGAATGTATGCTGGATCCATGATGTTCCCTGGCTGACCCCAGCCAGCCAAAGCCAACACATCTGGACTGTTTATAGTGCACAATGTAAGATCTGATGCACAGCCCACTGAAGTAGAAGAACTCATGTTACCTCTGGTGGGTTTTGGATCAGGCCATGAAGGATTTTTTTATTACTTTAAAATAATCTCAACACAATTGTAACCATGGGTTAGTGATTTTATCCTGCTACGTGATTTTATAATGCCGTGGGTGTACTCTGACTCAGCAGCTGCTTTCTTCTGTCATGCTCAGCTTTTAGATCTTTATCTTGGATTTTTAACCACCTGGGACCGATTCCAATCACTTGATTATTAAGAGAGACTCTTCTTCCATAGGATCCATATTTTTCTTAATGATTTATTTTTGTTTTGTTGTCTTTCATTGTTGCTCTCCCTTGACTTAGCTCCAGTCCTGCATTAAAGTTCCACTGATCATATTTTCCTCTTTAAACTACATGTATGTAAAATGTTCCTATTTTTTTTATCTGACAAAAGATCTTCTTTTAAAATAGATGTTCTTCTTCATCCCTTTGTTGTTGTTCCTCTAGCAAGTCACACAGTTTCATTGTGTTCTACTTTGTTCATGTCTTTTTTTGTTTAGCTCATCCTTTCATCTTGCTACAACTACTCTATATATCACTGCAGTTAGAGATGGACAGACTTTTGCACTCTTCCCTACTTGCAGTCACTCTTCCTGATCTCAAAATACCACTCAGTGAACAGCCTTAGGTTCCAGAACTGGTGGCCTCTAAATTACTGCAGTTTCTTGATACATTATGAAAATTAAGCATGGGACAGCTGGTTTTATTAGCTGAAAACTGTTTCATAGACTACATTTGTTTTGTCACACAAATATTCCGTGTTAGAAGGAGTAAGTTCTGGTGAGCATTAAGACATGGCTACATCTTCAGTGGCTGTTGCTCTGTTTTCTTTGTTATTATACCTTCAAGCAAGTTGTGCCAACTTACACTCTCTGTCCATGCACTAACATCGATCTGGAGTGACTATCCAGAAATATGGGGAGTTCTGTAGGTGCAGGTGAGAGAAGAATCATCTGACAGGAGTACAACTACCTATTAAAAAAAAAATCCCCCAGAAACCTTTACGTGTTAAAGTATATGCCTGGAAGTAGCATGTATTTTCTGTGCCTTGATATTTTACTTTCAATGTGCTTTTTTGCTTTTCTTCCTGCCAAATTCTGTTTTTCATTGAAGTCAGTGAAGCATCATCTATCCTGAATTACTGCACTATAAAACTTCAGGAGCACTGGTGAAGTCAGTCGATTTATTCAGCATTTAACTGATCGAATTTGTCCACGTGGGAATCTTGCCACTGATTTTGATGATCCCAAGAATTGGCTGTTCTGTGAACTCCTCTTTGGTTCTTGAATACTATTTCAATGGTCTGATATGTCTTGTGGGACTTTTAGTAGCTTGCGTTATTATCAGATATGATAGAAATGTCATTGACAAGTGGAATAAAATTACTTTTAATTCATGTCCATTCTGGTATGTGGGAAGTGATTTTCCTAAGCTTGGTTGCCTCTTCTATTTGAAAGAGTAATATCCCTTTTTTCTAACCCCTTGGACAGTTTCAGGATAAAGTGAAAGGAGGAAGATTTCTGACCTACATGATACCACACAGCCAGTCTGCCACAGCTAGTACACTCAGGAGTTGCTAGAGGTCAGGAAATGCTCAAATATCAGCAAGGTGAGCTCTTTGCTTCATTTTCAAAATAGCATCCAGAAAGAGTGTTGAGGCCTTTTCAAAATGGTCCTTCAGTGGTTTCTGAGGGACTTTACTGCCATGAGGGGAAAGTGGTCAAAGGAGGTCACCAAAGGAGGTCTCTCAGCAGGTTACAGAGTCAGGTCTCCACCACCTTGAGTTGCTGGTATCAAAGTAAACCCCACTGCATTGCTGCAGAAACGCTTGTCTCCATCAGCATATGAAAAAATCAAAGCGTGCACAAAAGTTTGATCCTTCTGCAGAATATTAAACCCCATTACTGTAAACTAAACCACAGCTGGTGGTGTGAGAGGGGAGGACGATTTCCAAAGTTATGTGGGCACTAGAGGATAGGGATAGGCAACTTGAAGTATTTTTTGAAAGTGCCCAAGGAGGACTGAGATCAATAGGAGCTAGACACCCGACTTGCTCAGAGGCTTTTGAAAACCATACTGGAAATCTAACTTGCATATTGATGCTCATAAATATCTTTGAAGTCTTGTTCTTAATATAATTGAGAATTGAGCCATTGTATCTTCAGTGCTTCTGAAGACAAATGTTGGTACCTTACAGTGCTATTGATTGGTATAAAAATAAAGGCTTTATATTAAACCACTTAATGTGACAGAGAAGGGAGAATGCAGCAATTCCTCTAATGTCCTTAGTGCTTCTGTGTCATAGGTAATCTTATTTTTGTTTTACTAATGCACTGGTATTGGTTCTCTTCATTTATTTACGTTAACATAAATTTTCAACCATGTTTGAGAAGTGCAGCTTATGCTGGAAATGGTCCTTGTACAACCACACCATTCTGTTGTAGGTGTGACAGGCCCATACAAAGGAGGCATCAAACATAGGGAGCCTAAATGACATTTTACTGCCCAAACAGCAAGGCCCTGGTGACAGCAATGGGTGTGGAAGGCAGAATGCCTTAGTGCCTGTTTCATATTTTGAGGGGCATATATACAAATTTCATTATCTCGGACAGGCTCTGGAAATTCCCTGTTTTTCATTGTCATGCATCTAGGTTTGGATTCTTGGTCCATTATTCTGCATTGGACCAGCCATTTTTTGGTGGGAAAAATAACAACTCTCATATATATGTACTGAATGATGTTATTTGATTAAACAGGGAGAACTGGGAAGCAGTAAAACATATTTCAACTCGTGTGTCTTGGGCAAGTGAACAGACACTTCCTCCCACAGAGCTGCCTCAGGCAGCATTTTTGATGCAGTGTTCCTGCAGAATGAAGGCACCAACTAATGCCTGAAGTCCATCTCTCTTTTCTTTCCTGCACATATTACAGGCAGAGACAGATGGAAACTTGAAATTGCTGGCCTCAGCTCCTGGATCATGTTGGCATCTTTTGCTTCTTAGGGGGCAGCTGCATTCTGCAAAACAGCACCATGCACGTATCTTGATATGTAACCCTAGAAGAGACCTTCTAAATATAAGTGGGGGTTCTTTGCTACCGTGTGAAGGGAGTCAGCCGGACACTTAAACAACATGTGGTGTGAGCTTCATAGGATTGCACGGCAAAAAAAAAAAATCAAAGGGACAATATGAAATTAAATTCTTAGTGTGCCTCCCTGCAGGCACACCCAGGAGTTTACAGCTTGTGACTTGAAGATCAGCACTGGCTCTTCGATTTATGTGGTTGCAACCAGGATCCATAAGCAGTGAGGTTCCAGAAGTTGTTGTTTTGTACCTGTATCTTTGTTTATGGGCTCACAGTGTGACCTGTGTTCTGCCTTTCAGCCCGGAGATAGGTTGTATCTGATTGCTGCCCCAGTGTCCATCACTCCCAGCTTCAGTCCAGGTGCATCTGCTGGAACAGTGTGCAAGCATCTCTTCTAGGCTCGTTCCCCTACCAGAGCCTAACTCGGTCTGCCCGTTATTTAAGATGGATTTTGCTACTGATTTGCCTCAGTAGGGGGAGAGACAGGGTCATCTACCCAGTTAGTTTTCACTTTGTGTGATTGTGTGTGCACATGTACTAGATGAGGCATTTAAAGGACTAGATTCCCCAAGGCATTCTTGAATAGATGTGGAACCTACCCTGACTTTGGAGGAGATACCTCCACGCAGAGTCAGAGCCCCCAGCAGGCACAGGCTTCTGGCTGGCTTTAACCCTTCAGGCTTAAATGTTGGTTCCCTCTTGTAATCCTCCCATCTCCAACCTCATTTTTAACTAGCAGGTCTGGGAAGGTGTGCAGTGTTGGAGTAGGGAAGGGATGCAGTGGTTTGGGAGGGATTTTTGTGTGCGCTCCCAATTTTCCATCTCCCAGGCACAACGGCATGTTCTGCACGCACAGCCAAGTGTGTGCAATGTCCCTGAAATGTGAGTGAGCCTTTAAGGAGGCTGCCTGACTTCCTCTGCAGCATTCCCTGGCAGCCTGGCAAAGTGGGCTAAATTCAGAAGTGACCTAGAAGGAGGAGGGGGCCAGTGTAAAAATGGAGGAACAAACCTGGAACCCCAAGGTAAAATGGAATATCATAATAAGGAATTTAACCAGAAGGTTTCTGCAGTTAAATTTATCCTGTCTTGAACTCCAGGGTAAGTTCTGCTGCTGCTCCTACCTAGCTCACTCTCCACGGCACAGAAGCTACAAGAAGCACTTGCTCATGTGTCCCGTAAAATGTGATTGATGGCACGTCTGAATTTGATCCACCAGCTCATGTCTGAGGATGGCTCCTCTGGGTTTGTCATATCTCACTGTAGGGCTGAGTCAGCTTTCACTTCACTTGCAGAGACTTCTCTCTGGCTAAGTAAGCTTGGATCATGGCAAGGAAAAAGAACTTTGCCAGATATCAACTGATTCTTCAGGACTTTAAACCGCATGGTATGAGGCTTTAGGGCACTGCATTTCTTTTTTGACATCTACTCGGAGGTAAGAGAAGGGGAAACTCCACTGAAATTAAGGGGTGCACACCAGAGCAGGCTGTGTGGTTGCAGTGAGCCATGACAGCCTTTTCTTCACATTTCAACCAGTGTTCAGTGAGGGCTTAACTGCTTTTTGATTTTAATCAACTGCAGGAGATAATCCCAACAGTGAAAAGGAGAGATTCTGGCCTAAAGCACAGTGATTGGTGAGTGCCATCCCTCACTTTTGTGCCTGAAGGGTCTGTAAGGCCGTTCGTCACCCCATCTAATCCAAGATATGCATTCCCCTAATACAGATCTCTCCTGACCTCAGATCCTCTTTGGTCCTTACTCTCTTTTAAAATGAGTCAGCTGATGAAGAAAGATGGTAAGTGATATCTCCAAGGGGGTAGAATGACTCAGCAGTAACGATGTCACTTCACTTGACCTCTCAGCCCGTACAGCACCAAAAGTGCTCCATAATGATTGTCAGAACCTTCACCAGGTCTGCTGAATCTCGTCCTCTTACAAGCCAAGAACCAAATTGCCTTAAAATTAATTTCTGAATAAGATGCTCTGTGTAAGATTTAATAGTCAGGCCAGGTCTAGTTCATGTTCACTGAAGAAGGTAGGTGTGAGTGAGGGGAAAAGGAGCTGAGCTTTGCTTGTGGCTCCTGTCATGGTAACTAACAGAGACCACGTGGCTCTTCGTATTCTGCAGGTGTTTTACAAGCATCTGCTTTTAAAAACCCACATGGCTCTAGGAGGTGTTGTAGCACAGTCATGACACCAGATAAAGCATTTAATCTATTAGTTTTATCTTGATTTATGGGCTGTGAACAGTTCAAACATGGACTGTGCTTTTTTTTTTTTAAGGGAATTTTTTATTCAGAATTACTCAGTTACATTTTCCCCCTGATCCTTTTACCCCCCTATGTTGGGAGTGCTTAGTGAGGGCTAAGCCTGAGTAGCCTGTTGCTGTGTCTGCCATCTGAGAGATATGGCATTTCAGAAAACTAGAGAGTTGTCATGATAAATTATTTCAATGGCAAGTGACACTCTGACATTCTCACTAGGGAAGTTAACAAGGAGCCTCATCTGTGACACATATGGAAGTCCTGATGGAAAAATGTGAACCATCTTCCCATCTGTTTCATCCTCATCTAGAAGAGAAGGAAGGTTAAGACAGGTATGTAAAGGGGCAGAGGTAGAAAAGATATTTTGTAGTCTTCCTTTGGAATGTAGAGGCTGGCCCTGGAGGGAGTAGAAGAGGTGAAGTTTTTATGCCTTTCAGGCTGGAAAGCATGGATGGAGGCAAAAAGTCACAGGTGCTGTTAAAGGGAGAAGCAAAACTCCAGGGTTCCAGAAATTCAGTGGGTGGATGAGCTCTGCCAGGGCCTTGTGACATGTCTTTACCTAATCTCTTGCTTCCCACATCTCCTGCATTAACAGCTGTGAGGGAATTGGGCTCCCACTCAAGCTGATGGGAGAAAACAGCACCCCAGTGAATGTGAGGACTGTGCCTGCAGACGTGCCCCTGAGGAGGCAGGGGATGAATTAGTTTTCACGGTGTAATTTCATCCCGCCCTCAATATTCACGGGGACCAGCACCTCACAAAATGAGTTATGTGCTGATTGCTGCAGGACTGTGCTACACCCACCAGTCACAGCGAGGGAAGACAAGAATCGGGGTTGAAAATGAAGCAGTCATGGGGAAAAGGGGGAGGAGAAGCCAGCAAGAGGCTGAGATACCTGTGGACAGGACAGAGGCCGTGGACACAGGCGACTCCCAAAGGTTTTGGCACTTAGCACAACACAGATCCATCACCATGTAGGGAGGAACCACCACATTTTAATATCAGACTTTAAACTGAATAATGCTTGTAACCTACCACAGACTGGTTACCACAGCCTCATGAGCTATTAGCAGTCCTTACCCTGCAGTTTATTACCTCTCTCTGGTTTTTAGAAGTATCAATAACTATTGCAAAGAAGTAAGGGCAGGCCCCAAGTGAAGGTACTGTTGCCTGCAACGGGTCTACCTGGCTGTTGTGCAGATCATCACAATGGGCAAGAGATGGAGCCCTGCACTGCAGACACAGCCAGCACACACAGAGGTGTGTGCACTGGTACTGGCCAAAAGAAGAACTTGGGGAGAACACAAGGATTGAGTTTGGAGACCAGGAATTTAGGAGCACTGAGCTGTGTGAAATACCCAAATAAGAGCAGCTGCATTTTATATCAGGGAGCTGTTCTGCAGGGGCTGAGGAAGAGCTGCCTGTACATGTTGCCCTCGCACCCCTCTGGCAGGTTATCCCCTGCCTGGGGTGTTGGACACGCCAAAGACAGACGAGGAGCAGCTGTTCCTCAAAACACCCGGTGGGAGCCAGCCCTGGGCCTGCCGTGGGGCACAGCAAATCTGTCTGTCCCGACAGAATTCTTCCCACAGTGTAACAGCATTCCACCGGGACACAGTTTGACTTGGTGGGAATCCTTCTGCCTGTTTGCAGGTTGCTTCTGCTGGTTATTAAGAAAAAGCAGCTTCAGTAGCTGTGATGCAGGGCATGTGCACTGCTCAGGTTTATGGGCTGCTCAGGGAGGTGGCGGAGTAACCATCCCTGGAGGTTTTGGAGAAGAGCGTGGATGTGGCATCAGTGCCATGGTCTGGGTGACAAGGTGGTGTGGGGTCAGAGGTTGGACTTGATGATCTCAGCGGTCTTCTCCAACCTGGTTGATGCTGTGTTAGAAAAGTAGAAGAAAGACAGCGACAGCTGATGAAGAGCAAAGGGTAAAACGAGACGGTGTGATTGGGAATTCTTAGAGAAATATACAAGTGTTATTTCATATGGGAAACATTCATCAGTTAAGGGCTCAGACTCCACCAGCGCTTCCTCGCGGGCCAATGGTCCCAGCGCGCCCTGACCGCGGGGCTCAGCGCCCATTCAGGCGCTGAGGGGACACGCGATTCCCCCGCGGATCCACAACGCTCCTTGGAGAGAGCAGCCGTCCCCTGGCACCGGGATGGAGCTGGGGGCGGAGCAGCACCGGAACCCCCGCGCCGGGCTCGGTTCCCGGCGGCCGCGGGCCGGGCCGGGCGGAAGCGGAAGGGCCGCGGCGGGAGCGGCGGGCGGTGGGTGCGGGGCCCGCGGGGCCGGCGCGGGGGGTTCCGGGGGGGGGACCCGGGCTGGGCTGTGGCGACCCTGCCCCGGGGCTGCCGGGCCGGGCTGTGCCGCCCCCGGCGGGGCCGGGTGCCTGCGGGAGCCGCGCCGCGTGGGCTGCCCGAGGGGACGTGCCACGCTCATCCATGTGGGGCGGGAGGAAGGGCTGGGAATCGGGGGCGTTCTGCCTCTCCCGGTGGAAAGCGGGGACCGGAGGCAGCAGCTGTTCACTCCCCGGGACAGTAGTCACGGCCCCGAGGCTGCCAGAGCTCAGGGAGCTCACGTTCCAACGCTCTTGGAACATGGTGGGATTGTGGGGTGTGCAGGGCCCGGGGTTTGACTCGATGAGCCTGGTGGGTCCTTCTAACTCAGCGTATTCTGTGTTTAGAGCCCCTCCCAGACACCCGAGATAACGTTATTGTGGTGAAGTCACGGTTTTGTTTGGCTGGTTTCGAGGCGTTCTGACAGAAAGTTCTACTGATGTTTCGGCTGGTGTGGTGGGGCGTTGTGTGCAGGGTGTGCAGAGGGCAGAGAACAAGCCCCTGGCTTGGGAAGACACAACACTTTTGTGCTGCTGACAGAGACCGGCTTGGCCACCTTCTAGAGTGAGCCTGGCAGAGGTGCGCTGGTATTGAGTTGTAGCACATTATGGAGAGTAGTTAAAATTGCCACTTAGTGTCTTTGTCCTGAGTGTGGGATCTTCAACTCAGAAACACAGCCCAAGCCCACTGATGAGTTTGCTCTCCTGCCTGCTGGTGTTCTGGCTTCGAAAGTAACCTGTGTTAACCTGGCTTTTCCTGCTCTTTTAGATCCTTGGAAATGGGGAACACTAGCAGCGAGCGGGCGGGGCTAGAGCGTCATGGGCACAAAGGAGCCCGAGGGGACGGCGCAGGAGGAGCCACCAAGGAGGGGGACCGGCCAAAGATCCTCATGGACAGCCCTGAGGATGCAGACTTGTTCCACCCAGAGGAAATGAAGGTGATTTGTTCTTGTCTTTCAGCGTTACTGGCTTGGCGCTGCTGCCAGTTGTGGGGCTGTTTGTTACCAACCTGCAGTGATTTTGTTGTTGAGTTTACACCAAACGGACCATCCCCCTTGCTTCCCATGCCAAGGAGAGAGAGGGCACTGATAAGGAGTGTAATGGCATGGTTTCCAGCAAGAATTGAGTGTAGAAAAACTGAAATGTAGCTGGCTCAAAGCTCGAAGGACAGTGCCCCAGCTTCCTTTGAATCCTTAAGGCCTTTGCAGTTACCAGTGACATTTTACCTGTTTATTCTTTTCCATATCAAAAGATCTGTAATTTTTTTTACTCAGTGTTAGGTGGGTTGTTAGAAGTGTCTCGCTGCATATCATGTTTCATAAGAACATCTAACAGAAAATTACACTTAGATTTTGGCTGTTGAACAGAACTGTTTCCTACAGGCAGCTCGTGGTCTTTCTGCCAGCTCTAATTCTGTGCCTGCAATATTTGTACAATCTAAATGCTTCATAAGTATTTCTCCTTAATTTTCTTCCTCTTCTTATATCTGTGTATTTTGAAAGCTTTGGTGATCTCAAGGAGTTTCTTTTTAGTCTAATTGGGGCTGGAGGCAGTGGCATTGTTTTGCCTTCCACTCTTTCTGCAAATTTGGAAGGCTTTAGCATCTTTGCAGAATTGTGCAAATGAATTTGTGAACTGCATCTAGAAATGCAGTTTATATTCTCCATCTGACAAAAACTAGTTGTAGAACTTTTACCTTAGAGAATTATGCCTGAGGGCAAAAAAAGCCTTCAGTACAACACAGGTTGTCTAAGTGTTCCAGGAAAGAATTCCTTCTGATTCAGACGTTGTTTTTGCAGGCTCCATTGGAGAAAGAGGAATTTCTGGCTTGGCAGCAGGACCTGGAGGTGAACGATAAAACCCCCACTCAAGCTCGGCCCACGGTGTTTCGCTGGACTGGAGGAGGGAAAGAAGTTTATTTGTCAGGGTCCTTCAACAACTGGAGCAAGATTCCTCTGACAAGGAGGTAACAAACTGCTGCTGCAGTGGTGCTCCCCAGGGACTGGGAGAGCTCAGTGCTGTGAGAAAGGTGGTCAGTGGATAGATGGGGATTGTGCTTGGATTTACTGCTCCTTAAGCCTGTGATAAGAACCTGCCTTTTTGATTCTCGGGTGGCACAGGAGGGAAGTTCAGCTGTGTGTCAGTTTTAAAGGAGTGATTTGTTCACTGGGCACCACACAGGAAAGACCTAGACCAGTCCCTGTTGTGCAGTATGTGCTTGGGGTGGGGAAGGGAAAGCTGGTTCTAAGCACATTGTCTCTGATGACACCTGTATGTCCTTGCCATATCAGTGGCTTTTTTTCAGCTCAAAGGGTCCAGGAAACTCTGAGCCTGGGACACTGCACAAATGAGAGAATAAATCCATATTAAAGTCCCAACTGCTTCTTCCTGCCAGAGAGCTCTGGAGCTCTGCTTCTTCAGTACCTGAATAAGTATTTCATTTACACCAATGTGGTTTTTTTTCAAAAATTTAAAACTTAATGTATGGCAGAGAATCTGAGTTTTAACCATTGATCTGAGCCCTGTTGTCTGTCAACAATGACATATCCATGAAAGACTGATCTACCAGGTCCTGGTGTGTCTTATCTCAGTGAGTGGCTGCCTGCACTGTCATTGGTGCAGAAGGGTCTTAATTTCTAAGGAAACTTGAGGGAGGAGCACTGTGGCCTGATAAAATGGGATGGGAGGATTGTTCTGTGCATGTGAAATAAATTATTGAGAGAGGAGCTGGAAGGAAGGCCAGTGGAACATCAGTATTGCTGTCATACTCTTAAGTGGAAAGCCTGGGAGACAGGAAATGGTGAAATGAATATGGAAGAAGGATAAAAATATCTCTTTATCAAAAAGAAAAAAAAAAGACAGGTTTGTCTGCTTCTGTTGTCAGATTATGCATTCTGGGAAATGGGGTGTTTATACCTCTTTAGAGACTGGATAAAATCACATTACTGAACCCAGTACACTCAAGTAGGAGAGCTTGTTATTCCAAACTGAAATTTCCCGTCCAGCTCTGTGGTGGGATGCTTGCACTCCATACCTGAGCAGAAGGGAAGTGGCATTAACTGTTTCTCAGCTTTCTGAGATGCTGGTAAAGCCTTCTGAAGACTCAGGAAGTTCACAGCACAGGAGTAGATTGCCAAGGAGCAGCTCTTCAGCCCCAGAGTAACTCAGAAGTATCGAGTTACTGCTTTTATCCAGTCATTGTTCATGTATTTCATAAGCATTTGGGAAATGCAATTTATGATGGCAAATACTGAAAGGGAAGGAAATAGGAGAAAGCTGATCTTGTTCCATCAGCAGGAGTCTCACAGATAAAATGAGGTCTCATGTACTATCAAGTAATGTGAAGATGTGAGGGTGACTTTACAAAAGCTCAGTGCCAGTTACTTGATGTCAGGAGTGTGGGGGAACTTACTGTCACTGAGGAAATTATCATTAATGATAATTGATTCTTTACCTTTGGATTGCAGCAGAGATTCTCTTAGATGTGGCACTGCCTTTTTAAGGTTTTGCACGTTACGGAGGCTTGTGCTCTGTGTCACGTTGTGTGTCACAGTTTATAGACCCGTGTACTTTTCAGAGCCTTTCAGGGCTGATTGTTTGTCTTAAATTCCAGTCACAATAACTTTGTGGCAATCCTGGACCTTCCAGAAGGAGAGCACCAGTACAAGTTCTTTGTGGATGGGCAGTGGACACATGATCCTGCAGAGGTAATGTTTGCTTTGAGTCACTCTTTATTGATTGATGCACCTGAGGATGAGAAACTGGCTGGTTTCTCTCCCAAGAGCTGCTCCTTTCAGAGAGAAGGCATCAGTTAACAGCAGAAACTGGCTGTTCAAGCTGGTGAGAGAGAGGTTTCTGATCCCAGCTGAACTAGTGGCAGCATCAGACTGAACCACAGAAGGCAAGAGATATAACAAAAGAGGGACAGGATCTCTTGGCCACTGGTTTATAAGCGATGCCAAGCTTTTCTTGCCTAGTGCCAAACTGCCTTTTAGAGCACTGTAGCATTGCTGACAGCCCAGGTCTCGCTGTGCTGCACTGGCTGGCTGTGCCAGGATGTTGCTGTTGCTGCTCTAGTAGTCCAGTAATTGTGCCAAAATCTACCAGGCCTGTTCTTCCTCCTGTGCTATAAAATGAACTTTGACCCCAGCCACCCAGCAGTCCCCACCTGCTTCAGAAGTCTGCATTCACACCTGCTGGTTCCTTCTTGCTGTCTTGGCAAACCTCACAGAATTTACCTTACAGTACATTCAGCTCTTGGAACCCCCTGCCTTGGACTCCAGCCGTAGCTTTGTAGCAAACCAGCAGTACCAGCCATGCTGCATCCTACATCAGGCCCTGCAGGTCTGAGCCTGGCTCCATAAGCCCTGCAGAGCTGGAAGTGAAGCTTAGCTCCTGGTGTCACTGGTAGCTTCAGCCCAGACCTGACCCTCTCCTTGTCTGTAGCCCAAGAATTGACCAAGTGCTGTGGGCCTGGCAGGTTGAATGGGCATTTTTCCCTCCCAGTCCTTAATCCTGAATTTGCTCTTAACGTAAAACTAACTGAGCTCTTTTCATATCTGGTTCCATCATATTTTAAAAGCAATATATCTCATCCTTGGTAATGCTGGTCATGTAGTTTTGAGAATCCAATAGTCCCACAAGCTTTTTTTAATTCTGATTTTTGTATCTTATCTCTTCCCAGCCAGTAGTAACCAGCCAGCTGGGTACTGTCAACAACATCATCCAGGTGAAGAAAACTGACTTTGAAGTATTTGATGCTTTGATGGTGGACTCCCAGAAATGTTCAGACATGTCTGGTATGAGCTTACTGGTAATTTTATGTCACACTTTTTTAGAGCTGTTAAAAATTTCATTTTCCTTTTTATCTGGAGTTAAAGCTCCAGTACAGATTAATCCACACTTTTGTCAGGCCTCGTGGATGTGAGCAGGAATCACAAATCACAAAGGAGGAATGTGGAATGCACAGAGGGAGCCTCTGACAGCAACACAGGGCACTGTGGATCTGATGAGGAGGGGGTCATGGGTGCTTAATACCTGTTTCTTTGCCCCTGCAATGTGCAGTGGCTGGTTTTGGGGCACTCATTGGTGGATCAGTCTCTGCTTTACCACATTAAACCAATGCTGACAGCCTACATTGCTCCTAATTCCATCTTCCTCTGCTAAGGAAATGGTTGAGGGGGTCAGAAGTTGCACATTAAGAGGTAGAAATTAGGTGCATTTAGCACTGCTAACACAGGCTCGGGAATGTATCATATTCTCACAGTGTAATAAAAATTATCTGTATCTTAGAATAATACAAACATTTTTTTTGTCTTAAGTTTCATATTCTAGTGTAACAGAAGAGAGGTAGAATTTAGCTTGAGCCATGTCTGAGCTCAGCCTTGCCACCTGTTTGTTACAGAGCTCTGTAGGGATGGAGACCATGACTGAAGCAGTACCTCACATCCTCCTTTGAGCCCGAGGCAGGAGGTGTGTTTGGTTGTTTTTTTTCCCTGGACAAACCCTTTTTGGAGGAAGTGTTATTTGTGAGACAAAGCCAGGAGGAGATTCCAGTAGGTGCCTTCCCCCCATGTGCTGTAACAGCATTTCCTTGGACTGGTTTAGGCTCTGAAGAGCTCTTTCCATAACCCTGTCTCTGTACAGGAGTAGCAGTTTCCTTTCACAGGTACATCGTGTTTTTGTGCTTCCCTCAGAGGTAACACAGAGCAGCCTGTGCACTATAGAATGTTTGCTGGAGAAGTGCTGGGCAGAGATGACAGAGGAGTTCTGGAGTGCAGTCAGGCCCTCAGAACTCTGCTGCCCAAATCCTCAGCTTGTTTCAAGTCAGACTTTGGCATCTTAAATCTCCTCTTGGGCAGTGACTGATCCTCTGGCACCACACCAGTGGCTGCAGTTGTTGTACTTAGGTGCCATTGATTTCTTTTGGCCACATGTACCTCTAAAGAACAGATATTCTTACAGACTATTTAAGATTAAATATTTACCATCTCTCTGGCAGAGCTGTCAAGTTCACCCCCAGGACCATATCACCAGGAGCCCTACGTCTGCAAGGCAGAGGAGCGCTTTAAGTCACCACCTATTCTCCCCCCACACCTGTTGCAGGTCATCCTGAACAAGGACACAGGCATTTCTGTGAGTACTTTAGCTTGTTTTGCTGAATAATGGCCTTGAGAGTGGAAACAGATGGGGAGAAAATCTGGGAACAGACAGGAGACAGCTTAGGAAAAACCTTAGGATAGTTGCCACATTGGCAAGTTTTTTATTATGTATGTCCAGATGGATTCATCTGAAGTAAATTTATTTTTCTACTTGACTCTCTTCAAAATTGAGAACTAGATTGCTGTTTTTCTCCCAAAACCTTAATCTTCTGAACTGTTAAGAAGCCAGAAGCACATAAGAGGTAGTTGCTGTTTGTTTCATGGTCATGGTGAGGATGAAGAGGGTTTCACCCAGAGGGGTCTTAGGTTGTTCTGAAGCAGTGACTGTGTTTGTGGTGGACTCAGGGTAAGTAGCAGTGACATACTGGGGGTATGGCTGGTTACAGACAGTGTTTGTCACCCATCAGCTGTGGTGAGTGAACTGTGAGTTCTGTTATTTTCACACTGTCTCCCTTTCTCTTCTTCCCAGTGCGATCCCGCTCTGCTCCCTGAGCCCAACCACGTCATGTTGAACCACCTCTACGCGCTTTCCATCAAGGTGAGAGGCCTGGGCATGTTCCCCACGTGGGCAGATTTAGTTATCCATGTCACATGCTCACTTGTTTTCCATCTCCTGTAGGATGGAGTGATGGTGCTCAGTGCTACACATCGTTACAAGAAGAAATACGTGACTACTTTGCTGTACAAGCCAATATGAGCATCGTAGTTGTTTGTGACCAATTGTTCTGGGCCAGTGCAGTCTCAGAAAAAAATGCTTCACTTAACCAAACATACTTCTGCTCTGTGCTGTAGCAAATGAACTCTGATTTCATATTGTTTCTGAGACTTCCAGGTTCTCCTGTATTTGCCTTATTTTCCTAGTACCACCTTGGAAGTTCTTGGAAATGGCAGCTTCATGGCAACTAGGCAGGTGGCAAAGGTGTCAGTGCCCACTGTCAGCTCAGTTAAAAAACCACCAGTTTAATTAGGCTGCAAAATGTGAGGGCAGCAACAGATCAAAGAGCTTTAGCAGCGAGGCAGGCTCTGAGTCTGTCAGCCCAAAGTCTAGAAAGTTCAGGATTCTTGTGGAATCTGATTTGAGCAAAACACTCAGCAAAAGCAAGCTTATTACTGCTTCCATAACTCATCAAACACAATCATTTCAGTAGCAAGTTCCAAACTTGCATGGCTGAAGTAAGTGTGAATATTGATGATCTGTTTTTTGTAGCAGCCTTTTCTGGGCAAAATCAGCAACATAATCACCTACAAACTCGTTATTATTTTACGGTAGACTGGGGTGCACGGTTTCTACTGTGAATAGCTCTGTAGTTTTTCTCTTCAGGAGAACTGAAATACTTTTCCCCTGTGGAATTTCTGGTAAAGACAATTGTTTTTAATGGCTGGATTTTTCTGTAAATCGTCAATGTGTCTTGGCAGTAATCTGCTTTTTGAAACCGGTTTCTCTTGCTGTCACTGATGAGGACTTCCTTAAGCTGGCATAGGTATCTGTAAGGAAATGGATGGATTGTTTAGGAATTAGTTCCTCAGTAAGAGCCTGAAGGTAACTGTAAGTGTCCTGTGTCCCAGTGGCCAAACTTGTCCCTTGGTGTCTGCAGTTGCAGCGTGTTGGCTGCAGCAGCACCGCAGCCCTCTGTGCCAGCGCTGGAGCTGGGCAATTTTTTATTCTGTTTCTGTTTTCTCAGTGATCATAGTAATGCCAGGCTGCCTGTACTTGATACAGCCTGTTTTATCCCAAAACAAATGCAACATTAATGCAAACCTGCTGCCAGTGTGCCCCAGGCCCACCTGGGATGGGCCCTGCTGGGCCCTTCCCTCAGCTTGTGTTGGTGCCTGGGGCACCGTGACTGTGCCAATGATAACCAGCCCCGTCCCACTGTGGGGGAGAGCACCCTGCACAGATCTGTGAGGAGTCTGAGTGGGGCCAGAGCTGCAGCAGAGTGGACCAGCCACAGCAGGAGGCTGGTTTGCCATCCTGGGGTCTGTTCACCAGCCTTGTTGCAATATCTCCAGTAGCCGAGTTAGACCTGGGTCCAGTGCAATGGTTTTCTCTGAAAACTCTTTTCTTCATTCTGTGCTATGGATAGTATTTGGTATTCTGAACTACAGAATTGCTTTTGTTTTCAGCCTCTTTAGAAACAAATAAAACATTTTCCAGAGAAGTGGGTGACTTGCTTTGTTATTACCCTTCCCATCTTTGGTAACCTTGCCTTCCATGAGTTGTTATTTTTTTATAACCTGTGATTGCCTGGTTGCAGTTTTATGCCTCAGTGGGTTGTGCAAGCTTTTCATTCAGAGATGCAGCTTGAAACACTTTCTCCATTTGCACTTAGTGAAGACAGAGGTGTTGGTGTTTATTTGTGATGTAGGGGAACTTTTTCAGCTGTGTTCACAGAAAGTGGCTGTGAGAATGTATTGGCAGAGAGAAGTCCTGCAGGGAGGCCTCTTAAATGCTTTCAGTGCCTGCAGGGAAATGATAGCACAAGTTTCTTATTTGAGTGACCCTGAACTAATTTTTTTTCTCTAGAAGAGAAGCTTAGCAGTAGCTTAATAAGTTTTGATTGGTTTTTCTTTTTTTTTTTCTAGTTGCAAAAGAAATTTTTCCCATGTCAGTGACTAAAGGAGCTGAAACCTTGAGACATGGAGAACAGAAAGGCAGGTGAAAGCATGCAAGACTGAAGTGTTTAGGGATTCAGGCTCATTAGTTCTGGCTAAACTTTGTGGATTTTTTCCAATTCCATATATGCATGACTCACTCCAGGCTCTTATCAGTGCTGGTGCGGTGGAACCACAGCATGGAACCAATTATTTTATAGAAAGCTTGTTGCTTTTTTTTTTTTTTTTTTTTAATTTTCATTTTTGCTTTGCAGTCTCTTGCCCTGTCTCAGCTGGCAGAGCACTGGGTACAGGGGCTGCAGCCACCATCAGCTTTTGCAGCCCCAAAAACGCTGTAGGGGGAACTCAGGGCCTAGGGTGGGGGGCCCAGGCTGTGTGACCAGCTGCTGCCCCACAGGAGTGATGATCCATCACCACTTCCACCCTTCCCTGCCCCTGGAATGAGTGAGCCCAGCTGCCCACAGGCCCCAGGGCCTCTCCAGCCAGGGGCACCAGGTGATGGAGGTGAGATGTTCCCTGGTACCTGTGGCCTCAACTGACATTCCCAGGAGCCACACCCCTCCTCAGGTAAGCCACAGCCCCCCTTTCTCTCCACCAGGAACATCTACAGGAGAGCAAATGAAGGAAGAGATAAAGGCTAATTTTATTTTTGGGTTTTTTGGGGGGATGGGTTTTGGGGTCTTTTCATTGGTTTTTGCTAGGTTGTTTTCTGCTTGATGGGTGAATGAATTAATCAGTCTGTGTTCCCTTATTGCAATGGGATGAATCAATTCCCTCCAAAGGCAAAAGCTGGATCAAGAGTTGGATTTATTAGCTCACATTCCCCACCCACAGCTCACAGTCTGTGCTATGTTTATTCTTGGCTGTTGCTAGGAGAGCACATTTTTTAAGGTAGGTGCAGAGACTTGTTACAGTCACTCTTGGGGACTCTGGAGTAAACCAGTACAGAAATAACAAGAGTTCCCTGCCCTCCCCGACCCCATGAATTTCAGCACAGCCTGTGGGGGTCCAGCTGACACGGATTTGTGCAGGGTTTTTGGGAATCAAAAGGCTCAATAAATAATAATTTTTTTTTTACTCCACCAGTTTCTGGATTAGTTTAGTTTTGTTACAATTCGGATCATGCATCATAGGACTGCAACAATGAGCTTTAAATAAGTATTCTTTGTGCACAGTAAAAGAAATAAAGGAACATTGAACAAGTCAGCATTTCATCATATACATCATAGTAGGCACAATAGATAAATCAAGCAGCTTGGGGTTTATGTAGAGCATTTTTCATGGAGAATGTCATGTAGACCAAAACGTAAGAGGAGCCATTGGTAACCCACCCCCACAGCCTCCAACAAGCCCTTTGTCAGGGCTGAGGGGGTGGGTATGTGCACAGAACCAAAAACACTGAACAGTAGGAGGACAAATTAAGTTACTGTAGGCAGCAGTGTGAATATTAAAAACCTCTTCCTGTGAAAGAATACTTCAGACCCTGTAAAAACTGGTTCAGTTAAAAATAGATGTTATTTACATTTAAGTCTGATCTAGCAAGTTTTCCCAGCAGGTGTAAGTTGAGCTGTACAGTAACTCTGCAGGTTGTACTCAATCTGACTGGATTTGTGAATGGTCTTTTTTTTTTTAAAGTTGCAGCTACTAGGCCTTAAAGCACCAGCATGTTACAGCAGTGGGATGAGGAACTGTCTCTGTCCACTTTGCTACCAGGACGGTGCTGGGATAAATCCCAAACCTGACATTAGATCACACTATTGTTAATTAAGATGGTTTTTTCCAGCTCAAGATGCATGGGGTCATTTACCAGGACAAGACTGTTTTCCCAGATACTCACACATGTTTTACCTCTCCCCCTCTCACTGGTGAAGCACATGAGGGCAGGATTTAGCTGTAGGTGTTTGCAGCTGACTGCTGCTCTAGTAAAGGACTTGGATAAATCCACCTGTTGTAGTTCATGTGAACATGCTTGGGGTTGGTGAAGCCACTTACAACTACTTGTTCAGGGAATGATGAGTATTAAATGCTAAATATTGCCAGGGTTAGGTCTCAGGTCAGCTGTGACACCCGTGGATTCCCCAGCCCCAGGACTGGGAGGGGGCAGGATGGGCAGAGGGACTCCAGGGAGAAGGAAGCCGTCATTTCACCATGCCAGTCAAGATAGTTATTTGTTTTATTTGGTTATTGTTCAACAACAAAGTTCAATACTTTCCAGGTGGAGCTTTGAACTGGCCCTCTGGTTCCCTCCCTTGTCAATAATAAAAAGGTAATGAAGAAAAATCCTGTACTTTTAGAGACCTAAAACCTCATTTATGCTAACAAGCTTCAATTGCAATTTAATGTTACAATATTTCTTCATGGGAGCGAGGAGGACTGAGCTGAGGGCCCTCCAGTGTCTGAAGATGGCTGTCCACAACCACCAGTAAAACAAAAAGCTAGTGTTGAAAAACGCACAGTTTACAATAAAAAAGTAGAAACCAATTCAATTCCCTTTTGTTACGAATATAAAGATTCTTGTAAATATGTACAGTCCTTTGAGCTATTTCTATAGCAGGAAGCATTTCACGAACAAGACACAAGATATACACTTTCAGGACTCAACAAGCCCATTTCTGAGGTCTTGAAGATCTTCCATGAGATGCAAAGATTTAAAGACTGATCTCTGTGACCTTTCAAAATATTCAGACCAGGAGACAAAAACTTTCAGCAAGTTTCCTGCCAAATCATCTGATTGAAAATAACCCAACAGACAAGAGAACTGAATACAATATCCATGAAACTCGCCAAAGGACACTGACAAGGCATTGGAATTTCGATGGGTTTCTAGAACAGGTTAGCACAGGCTTGCAAGGGACTAGCAGAAGTTTTAAGTGTGACGCCAAGGGAAGATTGGATGCAGTTTTGCTCTTTCCAGTTGTAAAGAACATGGTTGTTCACTTAGGATGTTGCTATTGCAGAGGGAATGGTCAAAAACCTGCTTTGAAAATCATTTGCTCTCTGCTTCATGTTCACAGCAAAAGAGAATAGGAAGCAATAAAAGGCTCGAGGTCGGACAGGCGGCAGTGAAGGTGTGTCAGCACCTGCCAGAGCTGCTCCCTGTGAGTGTCCTGTGCCACCACACCGCATCTTATTGTAGGACAAGCTACAGCTCACGGGAGGAGCCAGCCCGGGCTGCTCCCTCTGGGAGCTGAAGCTGGCAGGACTCATTGCTGAAGGGACCGTGTCCAGTGCTGAGAGGAGAACACAGGTGTGACTGTAACTCTTGTCATAGAATAAGGCTTGTTAACTCTTCGTTGCCAAATTTCCAGAGTAACGGTTATTTTGCAGCGTAATCTAAAGGTTTCGGTTAATTTACAAGTGAGGTACAATACACTACTCAGCAAAGCAACCTAAAAGGAGAGAGCAGCCAGTGATGGTGCAGCAGCATGCAGTGAACTGTCATGCAGAAGACCTGGATAAAGTCTTACAACCCAGTAGCTTATAGGTAATGCACTTTGTCTCAGGGCTGGGCAGGGGGGTCGGTTAAAGCAGAGATCTTCCCTCCCCATCAGAGCTGCTCTAGAGCAATTTTAGTGAGAACAAAATAACTTTCAGAAGTGGCAGGTGAACATACTAATCAGAAGTAATTTTTTCTCGTGTTCTGTGGAGAACATCCAACCACAGCTCCTACTGAAAGACTCGCTCACCTTGGCCCTTCTGTTTCCAGGCCATCAGGGGCTCCCAGCACGTCTCAGAACTATGCCCAACTCTCTGGTAAGGAGTGCTAACCACAGTAACAACCTGGGGCGGGACACTAGTCCCATTTCCTTGATGATCTACGAGGGACTAAAGTGGATACAAAAAGTTCATGAACTGCTTGAAAGAGTAACAGTAGTACAAAGTGCAAAAACAGGAGTGCAGGAAAGTGCGGAGAAATCAACTGAGCTGTGAAGGATCTTCAGAAGCGCCACGGCTCCCGCTGCGGAGCGAGCTTTGGCCCAGGAATGCTGTTTGGGAACTGGGCAGCAGACAGATGGAGTGCATATACTCAGTATATTTCCTTTTTTTCCTGCAGGTCAAGATGAGTAACTTTGTCTAGCTGAGACTTACACTGAAGACTGGTCCCAGACCTGGCAGGGAAATAAAACCACAGTTACAAGTCACAGATGTTTCTCTCCCAGGCACGAGGTGCCAGCAGCAGAACATCACCTGCTGCTCCCATGGAGCCAGGACACAGTCCTGCCTCCTGCCAGGGGGCATCATCCATAAACACTGACAGGCAGGCACTGTCAGCACCACTGAGCACAGCAGGCCCAGACCTTAACCCCCTTCAGATCCTCTATCACTTGATTTCTGATAGTAAATTCACCTGTTCTAGAGTCAAGCAGCATTTGCAGTCACAGAACTAGCCCAGGGAAGATGGTCACAGGGCCAGGGAGTGACACCATGTGGGCTCTGTTCTAACAGAATTTGAGGAGCAGAGGGGTGAGATTTGATTTGCTCTTGTACTTCACAGTGCCACCAGCCCTTCTGCAGTACATACAAGCCTTGTCCTGAGAACAGAGAA